TCGCCTCCCAAAAAATACATGAGAGAAAACCAAAACTCTCGCAACCAGAACGCGGGAAGCACCACGATGAACAGAGGAGAGGTGGCAGCTGTGGAGCCTTTTGTTGTACGTGGGTCCGCCACCGAGCCCACGGAAGCAGCAGCCAATAAGGCCAAGGACGAATTGCTTTGGGCAAGTTGGCTGCCAAAGCCCTGGTGAGAGCTTCAGAGAGCAGAAATCTAGAGGCGCCCTGACCCCAGCCGTGGCATTTTCAATCGGCCCTTACAGCGGGGCAAGGAGCAAGGGAGACCAGAGAAGACGTGGCGCCTCTGAAAGATGGTGCTGGCAAGGAATAGGGAATGAACCATCTCTCTGGGAAGACGTGCAGCCAGAATGTTCCTGAGCAGTGAGGATGGACATGTCATCAGGAGGGGCCAGTCCTCCAAGAAAGACATCATCCTTGGTTGGTGGGGGTCGGTGAAAAAGAGGAAGGCCCCAGGGACCACCCCACAGACCTCCCAACTGCACTGAGCTCCAGGGGAGGGGTCTGCCGGGGCTAGAAGGACCCTTTCACAGAGGGTCGGTGAGAAAAAGGGAGACCCTGGGACAAGCTGAATGGCCGAGAGCAGCCATTGGGCCCAAACATAGCAACACTGTGAGCAGGGCACTGGACTGGCCACTGCTTTGCTCAGTGGTGCACAAGGTCTCTAGGAGGCCCCCAACAACAACAACAACAACAGCAACAACAACATGCCAGCAAAGAGGAAGAGACCCTCTTTGGCAATCGAGTTTTCTTGGTTGTGTTCGTGGGATCGTACCCAGTAGCTTGGGTTCTACATCTAATCACGTCTGAAACACAGGAAGAGCAGAACCAGCGCACACACACACACACACACACACAGAGTGGGAGACACACACCCAGGAATGCTGAGCTCAGCACCGTGCCCTCTGGTTAACAGTTAACGCCGCAAAAGGCAAGACACACGGCTGCCTAAATGAACCAACCCACAGACCTACCAACTGCACGGAGCTCTAGGTTAGGGGTCCGCAGAGCCTAGAAGGACCCTTAAAGAGCCAGAAGGTCCAAGCCCCAGCTGCAGCTGAGACCTGGGATGGCAATAGTTTCCTGCATCGGAACAGTTGGGCCCAAATGGGTCACAGGGAATAGCTGCTTTTAAGCTGGCTTACCTGCCGTCGGAGAGGTGGCCGGTCCTACCGGCGGAGGCGGTGGTCTCTGCTGGGGTGGTTGGCACTGTGGATGTGGTGGTCGTGGTGGTGGTTGGCACTGTGGTTGGTGCTTGGCATCATACAGAGCAGATATCATGACTCTCCCTCAGCCCCACCCAGCCCTGCACATGGCACTGAGCCCGGGGACTGGGGGGTGCCCTGACTGGAAGAGCCTGCAGTGGGGCTCCAGGCAGGGTCTCTCCTATCTCCCCATCTCCTGAGCACCTCAAGGGCCTCAGAAACAGGGGGAGCTGGACACAGGGGCAGAGTGGATCTTGACCAGGTCCTGGGAGGGCTGGAGGGGCTACAGGAAGAGTCTCAGGTCAAGGGTGGCTTGAGTGTACTTGGATTTGAAACCCTTCGACTGCTTCTGACAACACTTCAGCTCATGTGTGCTCCTCTCTTTTTTATCCAGCCAGGAGAGGGCGGTGTGACAGGTAGGCTTACTGTGCCAACCTGGCCAATAGGAACATGTGGGATTGATCAGTTCACAGTTTGATTGGAAGGCAAAGAGATAAATGGATCAGCAAGGCCCACCCCTCTCTCACTCTCTGATCAGATCAGCATGCAGCTGCTTTAGCCAGTTCTCTGCCTCCACTTGTGAGCTACACTACCTGTGGGACAGCCAACCCATGGATCCTGTCGCAAGAGCTTGAGGCTCCTTCCAGACCTGCTTCTCCACATGCTGGTGTGCACATCACCTGACCTTGAGGCTGGTGGATCCTGTCACTGCATTACTTGTTTTCCATGTCCCATCTGGGCTTGCTTCACTAAGCTCCTGAGCTGCTGACTGTTGGTGACCTGCCCTGCTGTTTGCTGCCTGTGGGCAGACTGCCTGCATTGCCCGAAGGGAGACTCAGCTGTCTGCTTCCTTGACCTTGGACCCGGCAGCCCTCATGAGTTGAAGGACTTCCAGTATATTAACTGTTGCACAGAAGTGAGTTGAACTGAGCCCTCTGTACTACTGTGTGGACTAATTAGCTGTTATATTCCTTCGTGTTGTATATATGTATATATCTATATCTATATCATCTCTATCTATATCTAGATATATAGATAGATTTATACAGCACAAAGGAATATAACAGCTAATTAGTCCACACAGCAGTACAGAGGGCTCAGTTCAACTCTCTTCTGTGGAAAAGTTTATATATATATATGTAAAATCATAAGTGTCCTGGTTTTGTTTCTCTAGAACAGTGGTTCTCAACCTTCCTAATGCTG